GCATGAACAATGGAATTATTGAAGAAACAGTGAAGATTGAAACAATTGATTGTTAATTTGCAAATTGACTGTTCATTCTTTGGTAATCAGAATTTACTGAGATAGTCTGTAATCTTTGCTTAAATACATTCGATTGTCCCCAACTAGTGTTCTGTTCACAACATTTGGTGTCGCTGCCAACCGGGAGGAGGAAGGGTGCTGTTCTGCGGACGCCGCTGCGGGTCTGGAGTTGAAGTGTTAGTTGGGGCAGTCCGGTGCGGAGAGTTGGCGTCGAGTGGAGTGTTCTGGCGGGAGGCGTTGGCTGTAGCAGGTGCTGTCGACGGAGAGAAGCAGTGGGACGTGCGGCTGCTGGGCGGACATCGGATGTAGATGGCTCAGCAGGCCGGTGGAGTACGGGTGTTGAACGTCCCAGGTGCCGGGTGGATGCGGATGTTGGTGCCCCGGCAGGTCGACGGAGCTATGGAGTTCAGCGCGCCGCAGACTCGACATTCTGACGGAGAGTTTGGCACAGACTGCAGTGGAAGAAGATAGTGGCACGGCGAGCAGAACCACCGCATGAACGAATGCTTTAAAGGGGGGACGAGTGTGGTGTGATCTACTTATATCCATATAAGTAGTATATGGTGTGGGTCAGGCATAGAATGTATTTTCGCAGAAGACCGATGAGGAAAGAACTGAAATGAAGCGCAATCGTTTGGAAAATGCATGAACAATGGAATTATTGAAGAAACAGTGAAGATTGAAACAATTGATTGTTAATTTGCAAATTGACTGTTCATTCTTTGGTAATCAGAATTTACTGAGATAGTCTGTAATCTTTGCTTAAATACATTCGATTGTCCCCAACTAGTGTTCTGTTCACAACATTTGGTGTCGCTGCCAACCGGGAGGAGGAAGGGTGCTGTTCTGCGGACGCCGCTGCGGGTCTGGAGTTGAAGTGTTAGTTGGGGCAGTCCGGTGCGGAGAGTTGGCGTCGAGTGGAGTGTTCTGGCGGGAGGCGTTGGCTGTAGCAGGTGCTGTCGACGGAGAGAAGCAGTGGGACGTGCGGCTGCTGGGCGGACATCGGATGTAGATGGCTCAGCAGGCCGGTGGAGTACGGGTGTTGAACGTCCCAGGTGCCGGGTGGATGCGGATGTTGGTGCCCCGGCAGGTCGACGGAGCTATGGAGTTCAGCGCGCCGCAGACTCGACATTCTGACGGAGAGTTTGGCACAGACTGCAGTGGAAGAAGATAGTGGCACGGCGAGCAGAACCACCGCATGAACGAATGCTTTAAAGGGGGGACGAGTGTGGTGTGATCTACTTATATCCATATAAGTAGTATATGGTGTGGGTCAGGCATAGAATGTATTTTCGCAGAAGACCGATGAGGAAAGAACTGAAATGAAGCGCAATCGTTTGGAAAATGCATGAACAATGGAATTATTGAAGAAACAGTGAAGATTGAAACAATTGATTGTTAATTTGCAAATTGACTGTTCATTCTTTGGTAATCAGAATTTACTGAGATAGTCTGTAATCTTTGCTTAAATACATTCGATTGTCCCCAACTAGTGTTCTGTTCACAACAACAGCACGAAAAAATGAAAACAAATACTTGGAGAGCATCCTTCAAAAAAACGGCTACCCAATAAACTTCATCAAAAAATACCGACCGCACCCATCATCAGAAACAAAGCCAAGTACAGAAATCAACAAAAGGATTACCGTACCACATATAAAACGTATATCAGATACGACAACGAGATTGCTGTAAACCTTCAGAATAGGTGTTGCGCACAAATCAACAAAATCCCTCCGTTCAATCTTATGCAAACCAAAGGATAAAATGACAAAAAAAGACAAACCAAACATCATCTACAAATTAAATTGTACCAACTGCGAAAAATACTATATCGGACAAAGCGGACACCCTCCTCATCTTCGCCTGCATGAACATTAATTAGCAATCAAACACCATCACATGTTTTCACTTATATCAATGAACGTGAACAACTGCAGACTCACAATCGACTGGAAAAATGTTTAGATTTTGGATAGAGGCAATTCCAAAAACACCGGAGAATTCCTAAAAGCTTGGCACTCAGGTTAATCAGCAATAAACAAGCACATTGAGATCAATCCAATTAATCAACCAATCGGGAAAATTATGCAGAAACATAGGAACAAAAATCAAACCAATTGGAGATACAACCAAAACAAAAAATTAAACAATGTGAGATTCAAGTCAGCAATAGTCAATCAACATTGAGGTGTACAGCACAAGCTGTGAACCACATATGAAGAAATTCGAACACTTCACTTCTACTCGAAGTTTGTGCTGATGATGTAGTTTAGAAAGACGATGAAATCTCTACGACGAAACCATCTAGCTCAGAGAACAAAACATCGTCAAAATATTGATAAGACTATCAATTTAGTTTCTTATTTTAAAAAAAATCAGTATAATCAACTTAATTTGACATCTTTAAAGATCACGTTTTGATAAATATTAATTACAGAATATTATCAAGTAACTTAGGTATATTTAAATTTCGTGGATAAAAATTTAAAATTTTATGAAATGCATTTTCTATTTTATTTCTTCAAACTATTTGTGACATCCCTTATGGTTTCTGATCGTATTTAATCAAAAGATAATATTCACGTAAGAGTGTAGTTTGAATGTAAGCAGTTTATTTACTATAGCACTGGTCTCTTCAGATGGACATTATATTCTCATCGGCTTACACTTATATCGGCGTTAGCAAAAAGGAAACTATAAGAAGGGTGAGTAAAAATGGTTTGGGTTAAAAAAGGCACACATTAATAAGAGCGATCGTCAAAAGGCGCATATAAACAAAAGAGCATTGAAAGATGAAATAATCTTCCTAATAATTTAAAATATATACAATTTACTCTCTGTTAGTGGAGAGTTTTCGAAAATGAACAATGTAATGCAGAGGTGATATAGAAGGTTCAGCTAACATACTAGTTCCGTTTGTATATATATATATATATATATATATATATATATATATATATATATATATGAATGCTTTTAAAATGGAACAGTCTATTTCAGGAGTTCAGCAACAGCACTAATAAAAAAGTATAAGAAGGTACCATTACGTGTCAAAGTGGTCGTACTAGATCACAAAAAGAGATCAATATTAGACTGTCTGCGCGAGATATCACATAACTTGAATATCCACATTTATATATCTGTTATACTTCGTTACGAAAATTTTATAATGTATGTAATATTTACATCTTTATCGAACTAAGGTTGCCCTCTTTTGATCCTCTCTTCTGATTTATTTTATTCACTCAGTTTATGCATTGCCAGGATTATTTTATTATAGTAACAAGTCTCATTTATTTATAAGAGCAATTATGATGATCGCCCTTTTTTAACTGTGAGCTTTTTGACTCATCTTTTTGCTCACACATTTGTAAATGAACACCGATTATCAATGGTAGTGGTATCTGGAACGTGTATTTCAATGAATATATGAAGTTTATATAGAATGTGTTGGTAAGAAATAGTAAAGAACGAGTACTGATGCTGAATATTATTGAGTTGATTTGTTACTGATCTTTTACGTGTGGTAAATAAGAACAAAATTTAGAGCAAACATTTGTTTACAACTATAAGCGCTTATATAGCTTGTGGCATCTTACTTATCAAATGCATACAAAAATAAACAATTAAAAACATCCTCAAGAGGTATTGTAATTTTTTCATTATATCACGACTCATATAAGAAAATTATAGTTCAGAATATACACCAAAAAATACATGGAGATAAGGTGTTAAATATTAATCGCTTAAAATTTTCAATCATATTAAGACAGATATATATGTGATGTATACTACTTATGTGGACAGATATAGGCAGTATGTAATACCAATCGCAAATTAAATGCCTGTCAAAAGAAGGCTGAGAAGATTACACTGATAAAACAGAAAAGAATTGTGAATTACAGGAATGACAATTGATAGAAGATTTGCAAATCAAGTATTTAATATATAGTTTTCACAGTTTATAAAAGAAATCTGTAGTTTTCCATTTAAGTGGTTGTCACCATCTGAGTTCTCATTCATTACACATAGATATCTATGTGTTCAATATTAGTCACGATCTGAAAAATTGGATTAGCTAATACTAGCAATCTAGTGAATAAACGAAATACAGCTTCAAACTTATGGAAAGCTAGGTATAAAAATACTACATATTTGGTAATCATCAGACTTTGAACACGTCATATTTCATCAGATTGCCATCTTTACAACGATGAATCCAGATTACAGAGTGCAAACTTTAAGCTAATGTAACAGAGTTTCTCATATTAAATTTTTACGTAATCTAACATTTTAAAGAGACATTCTATTTTGGTACTCCAATAAACAAAACTTTACGTATCAAGTTTTACTTTACACATATTGTTTCATGTATTTATTATGTTACAAAGATCAAGGTTATTTTTAAATGCATCTAAGCTCTATATTTACAGATAAATTTAAACTTCTAAGATGTGTAACTTTTAAAATAAGGTGTAAATTACTTTGATGCAGCTTGCAAAATATCGCTGTCTTTCGGAATTCGGCTAATCAGATTGAATGTAATGTTATTTTCTGTTGATAAAACATGGATCTAGTAGCACTACCCGTAGATAAAGATTATTTATTATCCATTACATGAATCGGTTGACGTTCAATATTAACAGTATTGAATGCCTGCTCACTGGTTTACAGATTGAGCGTTCGCGCTCGAGACCGAAGTTCATGGGTCTGAATCACGTGTGTGGAATTGTGGATGTGCACTGTTAAGCAGTCCCATAATAGGACGAAACAGCCGTCCAATGCTTCCAAGTTTTCAATGGTGGTCTAACATTGATCGATTCATAACCTCAATCAAATAAACCTATTATATATGTTGGTCAAATTGCCTTTATTATGGCTTAGTAATGTTGGATATCACATAATATAATTTTGTCATGGTGTTGATTTCTCTGCAGGTAAAATAATTTATGGTCAGATTAATGTCTAATAAATGAATAAATTCCGAATAAATTCCGTCTGTACTTCATTGGTAGATGCAAACTACTTTTGGTGTTTATATATGATAATCATGATCAGTGGTTGGAAATGTTAGATGGCACGGCTTGAAATCAAAATGGCACGAAAATATTGACTTCTTATCTTCCTCAAGCTTATCAGTTTTAAGGTAATTATAAATCTTTTGCTCGATGAACTAATTTTCTATTTTTGAATTATATCTTCTATTTCTAATAACCTTTACTACGACTGATAATTCTACTGCTTTCATATTCATTTGACTAATTTCATTTGCCGTTGTCTTTATTGCTAGGCAACTTTGCGTTTTAAATATATTTCTCAAGGTCTGTGTTGATTATGACCGAACTTAAAATAGTCAGAACCAAAAATGCTGAGAAAAATTGGAATTTAAACAGAATTCATGAAAATCTTTAAATGAGCTTTTGATCTTCACTTCATTTACCGAAATCTATTTTTATGTTATTTTGAATGAATAACATTAATATAGCTGGTTTTAGGCGATATATTAATAATTGGCTTCGTGGCCTGAAATATTTCATGCTATATATCATAAAAAGATTCCAAATAAGTGCTACATATATTGAAATAATGATGACCTCAAAATGATAACCTATTTCCTATTATGTAAGTAAATCATGAACATAACTCTATAACAATCCACTTTTAGTGAATGATAATGATCTGAGTAGGATCGTTTACCAATACTTCCTGGTTTCATGTAGTTGTCTAACTAAGTTACTAAATTGGGCCATCTCCAAATACCTGCACACTAAGAATAGAAACTAACTGAAATCGAACTTGGTGCCATTATCGGAATATTATACCATTACAAAAGCAACACTTTAGTATAATGTTGTTTTAATAAAACAATTAGAACAATTTAAACATTTTAACTACAAAATAAGTCAAATGGTGTAAACAGTTGATTAAGTCTAAAAATTCTCTTACCTATAACAAGCAGTGAAATTACTTATTCATGATGTAAGTAAGTGCCAACTGCGTATTCACTCATAATCTTTGTTCAAATACATTAAGAATGAATATCCAGTTTATTAAATGAAACATTCGAACTGTCTTGAATTTTTTAATTTTTTGTATTGATTGAAAAACTGTAAAAATGCATCAACTTGACGAATTTATTGATTATTAAGGGAGAGATTGAATAAGACAATTTTATCTGAAGAAATGAGAATAATATATGATCTCTGTACATACCTTATAGAAACAACTGTTACATAATGTAATTTAGTTCACTAAATAAGGATATAGATTCATTGAAATAAATGCACTTAGTATTATTTGTTTGAATCTTCCCATTGATGTTTAGGATTGCAACTGGTCAGTCTCTTATTGACATATGTGCACACTGTGCGTATTGACTCGATATAGCCTTAATTCACAAGCATTATAAGCAAAGATGGATAATGGCTAACAGTGGAATCCAAGAAACGCGTTTCCTACTATTTGGGACTCGTCAGCTCGATGTACCTGCACCTCACAGTTGATGTTCACTCAGGGGCTCAAGCTCAGTACCTTTCACTTCAAACGTCATCACGTTATCCACTCAGCTACTGAGTCCTGATTGTCACTTGCTTGTGCAATGAGATGAAGTTTAAATTGAATTAGTATGGTGGCTATCAGGACTCAATAGCTGAGTGGATAACGTGATGACGTTTGAAGCGAAAGGTACTGGGTTTGAGTCCAAGAGTGAACATCAACTCTGATATGAGGGTACATCCAGCTGACGAGTCCCAAATAGTAAGAAACGCGTTTCCTGAATTCCACTGTTAGCCACTATCCATCTTAGCTTACAATGCTTGTTGAGATCAATGCTAGCAAAGTTTCAATCTTGTACTTGAGTTTCAGTTATTATAAAACCAAACTATTTAGAATTAAATTTTCCTAAGAGTAAGAAGTTTGAAAACAAACGTCAACTATCGGATTATCCAACCAAATTGTCGGGAGCTACCTAATCCTAATCTTATTGATTCTTTCAAAGAATGATTTATATCTAATGTCTTAAATTGAGTCATTTTCTAACATTTGCAAAATTATTTATTCAAATCTGAACCAAAGTTAAAGTAAATTAAAATCATACAATTTTTGTTAGTTTCATGATGATTAAATGTACCATCTTCAATTTACTGTTGAATATTAGAATCTGCAGGTGCTAACATTAACTTCTGTTGATGAAAGAAGAAACATTTTGTAACAATCAAATAAACAATTCCTAAGATATTTACTGTTTATTCAGAACAAATCATTTTTCTACCTGTAGTGGTTCTAAATCAAAGTGTGTGACAGGATACATATCGTTTTATTAACTGTGTAAAAATGTCGTTATTCTTTATCAAGAAACTTCAAAAAACCGTTCATAAACTAGATCTCTCTAGTGTTTTACTCCAAAGAATCCCAGTTATTCTAACCTAATCGAACATTTCAGCCGAATTCTGTGATAACCATATTTTTGAAATTTAAATGTAGAGAGTTACCTTTCCTTCATGTATCTACCTTTATAATTGTTATAAATATCAAACATAATACAGGTAATTAAGTAGTAGTCTTGATGCTAGTCTTTACCCCTTTTTAAAGTATAGCTGGTTGTTTATTAATCTATTCAATAATATGAATAAACCATTAATTTGCACATAACACATGTTTTTAATACGCTATTTTTCTTTCAAAGAAATATATATATATATATATATATATATCATGTCTCTCAAACGGCGACAAAATGGCACAAGTTGTCTATTTATTTTGCTTTTTCAGACATTCAGTTGTGGTACTATTTTAAAGTGTAATAATTCATCGATTTAATGCTTCCTTTTTAAACCTCACTCTCTATGTTTAATCTTTATCCTGCTATTAGCATGTCTGCTAACTTAGCGTCTTTGTTACGGATCTTTGTCAGTTTCCTTATTGTTATATTGCTCCAATAGGATAACGTGGGTTGATGTGTATTTGTTTTGTGGTGTGTACTACTGATGTCGAAAGATATAAGCAGTATGTATCATCAACTGAAAGTGAAATCTCTGGTGGCAGAAGGTTAAGATGATCGAAGAGAATAGAACGAGAACAGAGAGCGATTAGTGTGGAAACGAATGAACAGACAAGTTCAAGACGATTGATGGCTATTTTGTAAATGAAGTATATACTGTATGGTTCTCATATTTGACTAAGTGATTCCATAGTTTCGTGGTCAAATGCATTTGGTTGTCCCCGCTTGTATTCTCGATTGCAACAGTCTCATGGGCGCGGCTACTGAAGACTGGTATATATATATATATATATATATATATATATATATATATATATATATATATATATATATATATGAAATATATACATCAAATATAGTGAATTCATATTATTCTACTTCATTTGTTATTTCGTTTTCATTCCAATTCATAAGGGGAACCAAATGTATGTAATATCTTATTGTAACTACATCCATACTACATTTAACAATTTACTCTTTAACAACTTAAAATTTATACTTAAACGAAGAATATTATTTTCGATAAATCCTCTTCAGAGTTTACAATTATATATACAAATTGGTAATCCGAAATTTGACCAGATTAAGGATGAAACTACCAAATAGATAAATTTTGCCATTGCATTTATGGTATTTAAACGAATTTAGGTTTTTGTTCCGGATATAAATAGTCGTCACTATTATAAACTAAAAATTCACTTAAAGTTTGTACGTATTAACGAAAGGAAATAATATTATGATATTATGTAGGTAAATTATGTTGATTATTTCTTTCAAGTAGTAAATTATGACATCATCACATAAATTGCAACATTTTACCAGTTAAACAACTGACTTTAACTTATCATAATGACATGAATTATGTATATACATTAACTTTATACTTAAAAATCGGCTAAAGTGTAATAAATTCAACTAAATTAGGTTTATAAGTGAAGATGGATAGTGGCTGACAGTGGAATCCAAGTCGCGCGTTTCGTTCTATTTGGGACTCGTCAGCTCGATGTACCTGCATCTAAGCGTTGATATTTACTCTGGGACTCGAATCCAGTACCTTTCACTTCAAACGCCATCACGTTATCCACTCAGCTATTGAGTCCTGATTGTTACTTGCTTGTGCAACGAGGTGAAGTTTAAATTCACTTAGCATTGTTTGGGACTGCAACTGGTCAGTCTCTAATTGGCATATGTGCATGCTGTGCGTATTGCCTCTATATAGCCTTAATCCACTGTTAGCCACTATCCATCTTTGCTTAAAATGCTTGTGAATTAAGGCAATATCGAGGCAATACGCAGAGTATGCACATATGTCAATTAGAGACTGACCAGTTGCAATCCTAAACATCAATGGGAAGATTGAAACTAATAATACCAAGTGAATTTGAATTAGGTTTATATGGATTTTTTCTTTTATACAAATAATGGTGGTTTAATGTGAAATTTATTTTATAATGATATTTTATTAAACAACATACTTGGCAGACGACATATGACACGTTGTTCCATACAGTGTACATGTTAACACAATGCAATTTGTCAGGCCTTTTAATATGGTACGGGAAGGCATTTAATAATAATAATAATAATAAATATATTCTTGTGATAATCATATCTTGACATTAATTACTTATATTCTCAATAAGTAACATATTGACTTTTATGTAACGTCGAAAACATAATTAATTATAACCATTTTGGTTAATATAAATTAATTAATATATTTGTAATATTTTGATGTTGGTTTGCTCTCTGAGCTGGATGGTTTAAAACAAATCATCAAAATCATCCACATGAGCTACAAATCTTCTCCACCAACTCATATTTTTAATATCCCAATGAGTAAAAAAATAAGATTTTCTGACGTTTGGTGACTCAGTGTAAGCAACTTCTTCAGAGAACAGATAACCAAATTCACATTACTATAGTTGAAAGCGTGAGTCAATTGAAGCTAGACCACCATGGAAAACCTGGAAACACTGGACGGCCGTTTCTTCCTATTATGGGACTCCTCAGCAGTGCGCATCCACGAACCCACTCTCGCGAGCGAGATTCGAACCCAGGACCTACCAGTGACCAGTGGAGATCAAAACCACGTCTGTTGTGAGATAAGAACTCACTGAAGACAATTGGTGAATGGTTGCTCAACTTCGTGGATCAGTTGAAGTTAGACATTAACACCGTTGGATGCCAGCTCAGTGGTCTATCGGTTAAGGGCTTCGGCTCGAGACTGGTAGGTCCTGGGTTCGAATCTCGCTCGCGAGAGTGGGTTCGTGGATGCGCACTGCTGAGGAGTCCCATGGTTGGACGAAACGGCCGTCCAGTGTTTCCAGGTTTTCCATGGTGGTCTAGCTTCAATTGACTCACGCTTTCAACTATAGTAAATACTAAATCTCCACAAAACCCCGTCTATAAATTCACATTAATCCAAGTTTACATAGTACAACGTAACAATACGAATATTAGGTGCGATCAATCAAAACACAGGTCTGAATAAATCAATGTCAAGTCATTTCATTTCGGTCAAGGTGATTCTTGGGTGACATGTATGTAAATTTGTATGTGTGTGTATGTGTTCACTGTTAATGATGAAAAATGTGTGACCTTTATAATGACAAAGGATAAAGTTTAATTTGTAATGTAATAGTGTGAATTGTAAATAATATCAGACATGGTGACTAAGATAGAAAGTACAAGTAAGATGTATGGTAAGGCCTAACTTTCTGTTGAGAGCAGTAGGATTATATGGCTATTAATTTGGTCAATAAACTATATTCTAATATGAGAATTAATGATAAATTAGCTAGTGGATTTATTTAAAAGCTTACATTATATCTCATGGCAATTAACCCCTAATCCATGAGTTAAAATCTCCTCTAATTTTCTTCGTGTTTTATTTTAAAGTGTTCTTCGGGTCACAAAACCAATGTTAACAAACAACTACAATAACTGTTCTTAGTATCTCATTTTATCTGCTGATGATCTTGTTGAAAGGAATAAATGTTTTACCAATGGTAACGTTGGATATGGTGATTCATTTAACAAACCAATTATAGAAATAACGGTTTAAAAGTAAAACCAGATATTTTACAGACAAGGTAATACAAAAATAGAATAAAACGTGATTTAGAATGAGGAATACCTGTGACTAAAGTGGAGGAATTTTTAGATGTTCTGCTGTCTAATCTGCATGGTTGAGCCATTTAACCTGCATAATCATTTTATACAACATCATCCGCTCATTTTTCAAGAAAAAAAAAGAGTTTAAGTCAATGAATGTATCGAAATTGAAACGATTTTTCGGAAAAAACTGAATAAATCTTGGCTAAATACAACAAGCTATCTATAACCTGTAGAGAAATTTTCATGTTACACTTCTCATGATATATGCGCTATCAATGTTACCAAGAAAACCAATGAAAGCTTCATGAAAAAACCGTCTATCTTAGCGACAACAACACGTAAAAAATAATTAGTTCCTCTGAGACAAATTGTCAGACTACATCAGTAGCATTTAAATAATCTTATTTTTTGGTTTAATACAACTCACTATGTTTTTATAATTTACATTATGGTTTTTCTTTCTTCATGGCTTTATGTGATGTTGATGTGGTTCTCTCTGGTCAAGCAACTTTTATTAAAGACTGAGTATCACAATTTCTTTGAAACAAAATTATTTGACATTTTATTTAATAATTCACTTAAGATTACTTAAGCGACTGAATCGAACTTATCCTAGATAACATCCTATTTTGACATACTGTATTTACTGAATACGTTACCTTTAATGAACAACATATGTTACCAACATGATATCTATAAAAGTTTAGAAATTTTGAGGTACTAGTCAAATGTTTTCTTTAAATTTTCAGATATCATATGAAGGACTGACCATGCTTTCATACTGGAGAATAACTTGCAATCAGATTGATTAATTACAAAGAGCATATATACAGCTATCTCAGGAAATTTCATGTTTTCAGAAACAGAGAAATTAGCTATCCAGCATATTACAGATATCGACTGGCCTAATGGTCCACCAGATTTCTATGTGAAAGGATCATCTTACGCAGTTACCCAGAGTCAGCTACGACAATTGGAAATAGCTTCAGGTTTGGATATTGCAAACTCTACAAATATTATCTCACAATTACCACTTTACCAAATTCGTGACGAACCATTTCAATATTGGGCAATGATACTTTTAATATTTCCACTATTCACAGTGTTTGGTAATGTTCTAGTTGTTCTAAGTGTATTTCGAGATCAAAGTTTACATACAGCTACGAATTATTTCATTGTCAGTTTAGCTATTGCAGATATTAGTTTGGCGATAGTTGTTATGCCAGTGGCCAGTTGGGTTGAGGTAAGTTGGTGTTCAAGTAGATATTTTGTATATCGATAAATGTAAATAATTTTGAAGAAAAAAAGTATTAGTACCTTTATAGCTCCAATGTGTAACTCACTCACCAGAAAAATGTTGATTTATGCGGCTTTGTGTCACACCCTAGTGTGACAGATAGAGATACAATGCATCTATTCATCCCAAAAAGTCAGAAAGGGGTTCAAAACAGAAGCTTCTAGGTCAGAATTGGACTCAATGTTAGCCAATTCTTCAAAGAATTCTCTGAAGAAGCGGCTTACACTGAGTAGCGAAACGTTGTAAAATTTGAAAACCGAGTTTTTCTACTCATTGAGACATTGCAAATGTATTACTTTTATAAATAATTATCTACCCAATGCTTACTGTATTTGAATTTATCAAGTCGAACCTTGGTAATGAAACCTACAAATTCATACTATGTTAACCATTATTTAAAGGTAAAAGTTGAGTGATTACCGTAAATTTAATAAAAATGTATGTGGCATAAGCTTGTTCACTATACATAATTCCTATATGAATGATCTTAGCACAATATTAAATGTTTTCTAAGGTAACATAAAATGGAACAAAATAAACTGATTGGTAATTTACTTATGAAAACAGGCTTAGAAAACATTATTTACCAGTGATATTGAAGTGAACAAAACACTAGTTGGGACAATCGAATGTATTTAAGCAAAGATTACAGACTATCTCAGTAAATTCTGAAAACCATACAATGTACAGTCAATTTGCAAATTAACAACCAATTGTTTCAATCTTCACTGTTTCTTCTTTCATTCCGTTGCTCATGCATTTTCCAGACGATTGCGCTTCATTTCAGTTCTTTCCTCATTGGTCTTCTGCCAAAATACATTCTATGTCTGACCTACACCATATACTACTTATATGGATATAAGTAGACCACACCACAATATCTCATTGTAAACCAAATCATTTGATTATAAATAAATTTGTCTAACACTCATAATCACTTGTCTTCATTCTCTAAAATAGAGAAAAACATTTTGATTTTGTCAATGTCTAATAATTTATTTTTATATTTTGTTTTGTCTAGGCTAATAATGGAAAATGGCGTCTTGGTACTGTATTATGTGATATATTTATTATGTTTGATGTACTTTTGTGTACAGCATCTATCCTTAATTTAGCAGCTATTAGTATGGACAGGTAAGAAATATCATTTATGATACATGAAAATTAGATGATAAATTAATAGTAGAGTATTTGTGTTAAACTGTACTTCTATCTCATAATGTGTTACCATTAGGATTATTTATATGAGATAATATTTAGATACCAAATATAGGCTGCATATCGTATAAGTAGGTTACAAGGGATTATACATGTCTAAGATAATCAATAAAAGTTAAGAATCTATAATGATGTTAATTAGATAATAAATATATCATTATCATGAGATTGAGTACATTCTCATGATTTACCACTAAAATGTTTTTTTTACTGTAAATAAACTTTCAGGTGAATTTTAAGTTGAAATAATTAGTCAATTGAAGCGAGGCGAGATCGTGGATGCGCACTGCTGAGGAGTCCCACAATAGGAGGAAACGACCGTCCTATGCTTCCTAGTTTTCCTTAATAGTCTAACTTCAATTAACTCATGATTTCAACTATGAAAATATTGAAATCTCTACAAAACCCCTTCTCAATTTTAAGTATTATTTTCAGAATTTTAAAATTCTACTCAAGTTTATTAGATTCAGCCACAGAAATCCATAATGATTTGTGAAATTGTTTGTTATGAATATCACATGTTAGCAAGTTGCTTATAAAATAAATAAAATTCTAATGTACATAAATACGTACATAAGGGGAACATTCTGTTAAAGATGAATACTGTTATACTTCTACAGTAATACAGTAATGTAATACGCTGTGGATTTAAAATGAGTCTTTTCCCGGCTATTGACACCACAAAGAAACAATGTACACTGCATCACTTAACATTTTTAATCGAGTAATTTGTATTTTTGATTGCTAATATAATTAATAAAGCATTGATACTTTTACACTTATCAGTCACTCAACTGTAGTATGTCGGTTTATGCTAATAGAATCTGATCATAGTATTGGTACAGAAAGCAACAATTACGTCTGACTGTCATGATGTAATTTCACATATCTATAATAATTCTAGGTATTGCTATTAAAAGTAATTTATATGGACTAGTGGAGTAGGGTATGGTTCAAAATAGTATACGAGAAAATTTTGCAATTTGGAATAATTCTGTTTCTATTCTCTTCTTAGTTTTCTTCTCTAGAATATTTATATTCTCAATTCATAAATTAAAAAAATCTTCTGAACAATTATTGTTACTTATTACTCTATATATACCTGTCATACTCTATTTTATTCAAGACTTTCATTACATAAATTATATATCCTAATTGCATAATTTAACGACTAATGGTATCGAAAAGGGGTTTGTGGAGATCATAATAATTTAATAGTTGAATATTAATGCAATGGCTTCCAGGCGATGTAAACAGCTGAAGAGAATTCATGAAATAAATGAATCGATGTTATGAATTTATGATTGTCCTTTCATTATTTGAATATTAAATGTATTTCTTTTTAAACTCTCATTAATCGAGAATCGTTAAATAATGTGACATATTACAAGCTTATGATGTTGACATGTTTCTGATATAAATCAGAGAAAAACATTCAAATCACTAAGCTTATATCAATATATTCAATAGAGCAACAATTTTAACTCCACATTAAGATCTAAGCCAACTAAGATCTCATCACATATTTGGTAGTTCTGCTGTATCACAAAATTTACAATTAAATTTAAAAAGTCACTTATAAAATTGTTGACAAATACATGCATTCTAATTGCATGCTTCTCTTGTCACGTTTTAAGTGACTCTATATTTTAATCCATTTTGAAATTAGAACAGTTTTAATCGATTTTTGTTAGTTGTACTTATCAATAGTTAATCACCAAGTGGATAAAATAATAATTATTATCCACCATTTGTGTACATCAACCTTTTTTAATATATTTTAATGCAATCGTTTTTATTTGTGATAGTAAGGGTAATATAAAAGATGGTGTATTTAAAATTATCTATCGTTCAATGTACTATGTATTATGATTAGCGGAGAACGTTTTTATTACAGGTAATATCAAATTTTAGTTTGACCACGTCTACTGTTAGATAACAACTGACTGAAGATAATTGGTGAATGGTTGCTCAAACTTCGTGGATTGGTTGAATTAGACATTGATACCGTTGGACGAGGGCTCAATCGTCTATCGGTTAAGTGCTCATGCACGATACTGGTAGGTCCTGAGTTCGAATCTCGCGGGGCGGGATCGTGGATGCTTACTATTGAGGAGTCACTTAATAGGACGAAACGGCTGTCCAGTGCTTCCAGGTTTTCCATGGTGGCCTAGCTTCAATCGACTAATTATTTCAACTGTGAAAGTACTGAAATCTCCACAAAGCCCCTTCTGATTCTAGTTATGTATAGATTTATAATAATATCATAATACATTGGATTTAGTATGTTTGATATTACTTTTTTGTATTTGGAAACTATATGATATATCAAAGTGGTCATTTATTAAAATTGTAATGGATGGGAGTTATTATATAAATGACCAGTAAATTATGGTATCAATCGCTATATGTAAAGCCCATATAGCTTCCGAAAAAGCCAATTTATTCACTCTTATGTATCTTCCTTTGATCTTGTTAATTATTCGCTTATCAACATTGACTATTTTATCATGTAAACGAATATATATATGCATTTCTTATCTTACTTATCACATATAATTGTAATGTATCTGTTTCAGAATGTACATGTAGATTTATAGAGTTCAGCACATTTTAGATACCTCACAAATTTGAATACACTGACTGATTTTATTTAATTTACAACAGGTATTATTGAAGACATTTGTGATAAGCATCCGTTAAATCATCTGAATATTTTCGTACATTTTGTTTCTCGCTTCATCTGAGTTTTGTGTCTATTATAAAACATATTTTTTATAATCCCCTAAACAAAAATATTTTTAAATTAAATATGTTAATTGTTTGGTATGTGCTACTTATATTGACAAAAGTAGTATATAACGATAGTCAGGATTATAATGTCTGACAGCCGGAGGTCAAAAATAAAAGGAGGGGAATAGAAAGCAATCGGTTTGAAAATATAGGAACATTGACTGATATTTGTAAAAGGGACACTGAAGTTTGAGACAATCGATTAACATTTTTCAAACGGAGTATTTATTGTATGATTCTCAGATTTTACTAAGACATTCTGTAATTTCATGTTAAAATATATTCGATTGTCCCTACTTGTGTTTTTGCTCATTACAATTGTACTATCGTGTTTAATCAATACCAAAGTACGCATGATATGCGTTCCCATATTTTATAAGAAAACTAAGGTTTTATTTTATACTGTTAGTTTTTTCTATGACATTCTCTTCTCAAAGTGATTAAAAGTGACTTCCATAAGTGACAATACAAATGTAATCTATTACATAAGTTGATGTTAATTTATCTTAGAGCAAGGTTTTGTCATTCAAGGAATTACTGACAGTGAGGGTTTGATCCCTGATAGTATCGTCAGTGTACATTTCTGAAGAGTTTCAAGCCACGATAACATAAATGTCTAGTGATTTCTGTTTTTTTTTAATTGTTGCCCAAGGTTTAGTTAATTCATGACATAAAACCATAGTTAATCTTGTTAATAAAACTGTATCAATAGATTTCAGTACAAAATACTGTTTTTAAATTGAACATTATCTTAATAAACAGTCATATTTGTATTCCCATACATGAAGAATATCAAGTTACTTACTTACTTTCGCCTGTTACTCCCAATGGAGCATAGGACGCCGACCAGCATTCTCCAACCCACTCTGTCCTGGGCCTTCTTTTCTAGTTCTTTCCAGTTCTTGTTCATTCTTCTCATGTCTGTCTCTATTTCTCGGCGTAATGTGTTCTTTGGTCTTCCTCTTCTCCTTTGACCTTCAGGATTCCATGTGAGGGCTTGTCTTGTGACGCAATCAGGTGATTTCCTCAAGGTGTGCCCAATCCACTTCCAGCGCTTTCTCCTGATTTCTTCCTCCGCTGGAATCTGGTTTGTTGTCTCCCACAGTAACTTATTGCTGACAGTGTCTGGCCATCGGATCCGAAGTATTTTGCGTGGAAAGCTGTTGATGAACACTTGTATCTTCTGGATAATGGCTTTCGTAGTTCTCCACAACTCTGCCCCATACAGTAGAACTGTCTTGACATTTGTATTGAAAATTCTAACCTTGGTGTTGGTTGACAATTGTTTTGAGCTCCAGATGTTTTTCAGCTGTAGGTATGCTGCTCTTGCTTTGCCGATCCTTGCCCTCACATCTGCATCTGATCCACCGTGTTCATCAATGATGCTGCCCAGATATGTAAAGATTTCCACATCCTCCAAAGCTTCTCCGTCAAGTGTAATTTGATTGGTGCATATTGTATTGTATCGGAGAGTCTTGCTTTTCCCTTTGTTTATATTGAGACCTACTGCTGCTGAGGCTGCTGCTACACTGGTCGTTTTCTCCTGCATTTGTTGTTGCGTTTGTGATAGAAGAGCCAGATCATCCGCGAAGTCTAAATCGTCAATTTGCATCCTGCTTGTCCACTGTCCACTGACGTCTTCATGATCCAGTCGATCACCAGGAGAAAGAGAATGGGTGAGAGTAATCAACCTTGCCTAACACCGGTCTTTACCTCGAACGAGTCGGTGAGTTGTCCTCCGTGGACGATTTGTCAGTTTAGTCCATCATAGGAGTTCCGTATGATGTTGACTATCTTCTCAGGCACGCCGTAGTGTCGAAGAAGCCTCCATAGTGTCGTCCTGTCCACGCTATCAAATGCCTTCTCGTAGTCGATGAAGTTGATGTAGAGTGATGAATTGCATTCGATTGATTGTTCCACAATGATCCGCAGAGTTGCGATTTGATCTGTGCACGATCTATCCTTACGAAATCCAGCTTGTTGATCTCAAAGTTGGGCGTCCACGGAATCCTTCATCCTGTTTAACAATACTCGGTTGAAGACTTTCCCTGGTATTGAGAGAAGAGTGATGCCCCTGTAGCTGTCGCACTTGCTGAGATCGCCTTTCTTTGGTATCTTGATGAGAAGTCCTTCTTTCCAGTCTGTTGGTACATGTTCTTCGTCCCAAATCTTACCGAAGAGGATGTGGAGTATCTTGGCAGTTGCTGTTACACTTGCTTTCAGTGCCTCTGCCGGGATGTTGTCTGGTCCCGCTGCTTTGCCACTCTTGATTTGTCTAATGGCCATGCTGATCTGTTCAATTGTTGGTGGGCCCATATCGATTGGGAGGTCTGTGAGTGCTGCTTCGATGTTGGGTGGGTTCAGTGGGGCTGGTCGATATCAAGTTAATCAAGGTAATTTATAAGTCAGTGTTAACACTAAAATACGTCAAATGACTAACTATAATAAGTAAAAGAAAATACACAATGATAACATGATGATAGGTATGGTAGTCAGTATAAGAATAATAAACATAACGATAGTATGAAAAGAAAATATTTTGATACATAGGAATAAAATAATGTGAAAATAAATTATCAAAGTATAATCAACATTGTAACTAATCATTGTGAATAAGTAAATAGTAAAGAATTGATATGAAAGAGGTAAAGATAAACTTGGTCAGAAAAACTTAGCAAGATAGTACAAATAAATTTTCGTTGATCAATGAAAAAACAGAAATATTGCGAATATCTTTTGAATTTAAAGACTAGTGTTGTTGTTGTCTTAAAACCTTATAGTTGTAACTACATAAGACAGAGTTAGAAACCCAATGGGAAGACGTTAGGGTCATTGGTAATTTGGTTTGATTGTTCTTGTACTTGTATTATTGAATGGTTGTCACAGGTCAATTGGTACCAAACATATATTCTGATTAACATTGTATGATTCACTTTTAAACCACGAAAGGATGCAACTCTGTCTAAATTGTCTGGTAGTAGTCTTGATATAACTTTCTCTACTTCAGCAGCTGAATTCCTAAATACATATTGAATAGGCAAAGCCAGGTAATTTATCCTGCATATCAGAGTAAATTCTGATGAAAAACTATATGTAGACAATATTGCTCAATTTAAATATTAAGTATTTTCGAAAGTTTAGAATTGAAAGTGCTATTAGATATATATCATGAATATGTTGTTTAAATAATGTAATCAAATGTAAAGGGCTTGTACTATATCAATTTGACATGGCGAACAGGCATTTATGGGACCGTCCTTTTGACCAAGAGTTTAAAATTTAGAAAATATGTCTCTATGCGAACATTTCGGCGCGACTGCGCAACATTTACGTATTATATGATCTATAATTCATCTTAATATTAATTATATAGACCATGGTAAATGGAATTCACCACTTCTCTGTTAGAATTTCGTCCATCCTATCAATAAATCTATACAATGGCTCTATTTATCTTCCTCACTTTTATTACCCTTATAGCTTAAACATCTTAGTATGGAAATACAACAGCACTGGTGAAAATAATATATACATTTTTAATTTATACAGTTTTTGTATTTAATTTCCTGTAGATACGTAGCCGTGACTAGACCAATTACATATGCTCAACATAGTAAAAATGTTCGCGTTGGAATTACCATAACAGTCACGTGGATATTATCATTTGTAATTGCATTACCAATTGCTTGTGGATTGAATAATGCTCCATATCGAAATTTAGAAATGTGTGTTATGTATATACCAGAATATATAATTGCTTCCTCTATTGGATCATTTTATGTACCATGTACAATTATGATTGTTTTATATTACCAAGTATTTAAAGCAATTAAATTAAGAACTAAACGATCCAAATTGATAAGCATACGTAATCAAGTACAAAACTATGCAAAACGTTGGGAAACAGTGAACCAGACGTCTGTTATACCGATCAAAGATAAAGAGGTGAATATATTTAGTAGTTTGGAAAATATAACGTATTTAACTGCATTTAATCCACAGGTATGTAACTGTCAATCAAGTGGTATTGGAACCTATATTGATTCAAGTCATATAACAAATGTGTCTTATTGTACAGAGAATCATCATTCATATAAAGCAAATGATATAAATGATCAATATCTGACAGACATTAATGGTACATCTAATTTATCTAGTAACTGTTCTCCTAATATTTATTCAGAAACTATATCGAATTCAGTGGAACCTAATGAAACCAACAAACTTCAACCAACGCTTATATTAACCGATGCTGAGTGTTTAAAGAATTATTTTGAATCTGAAATTCCACTACCAACTTTAACACAAACATATACAAAGGTCACAAGCAACAACGTTAATATAACAACAACAACTACCACTACTACTACTACTACTAATAATAATAATAATAATAACAATAATAATAATATACCAAGCTCACAGCCAGATTTCAGAAATATGGATGATTTTCGTAAACATTTAAAAAACCGCATTAAACGAGCAAAACGTAGTAGTTTATCCATGCTCACAACTAATGTATTTGCAGGTTTATCTAGTAAACAAGTATATGCATTGAATACAAATATTGATGTGAAAAAATCGACTACCTATAGATTTAAATCATCATTATCATCTAAACGACAAATTGGACGTATGAAATCACTTATCCCATATGATACATCTAAATCACACAATGAACAAACTAATGAACAGTTAGTGAAAAAAACAATTTTTAAAAAACGTAAAAGCCTTATATCTAGGGAAGTTAAAAATGAACAATTGAATCCGGAAGTAAACTCATCTAATAGTATAATGAACATGAATTATTTTTTAACAAACAATTCTGGAAGTAATATAAATTTAAAAGAAAGTCTAGCTGCTAAACGAGAAAAAAAAGCTACTAAAACATTAGCTATTGTTTTAGGTAAGTAATTTAAATTATTTCAATGTTTCTAAATGAATTTTGTACTTTCACACCATTTTACTTTTACACCATTTTAAGACTTAATATTAAACCATATTGTCATAAGTATAAAATACCAAACTAATGACATTTGGACATGGTTTCGTTGATATGATTGGTCCTCTTTTTAAAAAAAATGACAACTTTAACATACAATAAAAGTCCTTCCATTGAAACAGATTTGAAATTTAAATTCACTTAGTATTGTTTGTTTGAATCTTCCCTTTGATATTTAGGACTGCAACTGGTCAGTCTTTAAATGACATATGTGCATACTGTACGTATAGCCTCGATATTGCCTTATTTCACAAGCATTGTAAGCTAAGATGGACAATGGCTAGCAGTGGAATCCAGGACGCGCATTTCGTCCTATTTGGGACTCGTCAGACGGATGAACCCTCATCTCAGAGTCGATGTTCACTCTGGGACTCGAACACAGTACCTTTCGCTTCAAACGCCATCGTGTTATCCACTCAGCTACTGAGTTCTGATAGCCACTCGCTTGTGAAATGGGTTTAAATTTAAATGCACTTAGTATTGTGGCTATCAAGACTTAGTAGCTGAGTGGCGTTTGAAGTGAGCGGTACTGAGTTGGAGTTATGGAGTGAACGTCAACTGCAAAATGAAGGTATATCCGACTGACGAGTCCAAAATAGGACAAAACACGTGTCCTGGATTCCACTGCTAGCCAACATTCATCTTTGCTTACAAGATTTGAAATTGTTATTTATGAGAATGTTAAAGGTTTGTTTGTATAATCAATAAAATTTCTAAAATCTTTTAAAATGAGAAATGTAAACACAGATTTTTAGCTTAGACTGAGTGAGATTTCCGTAGGTACAATCTAAATGTATTTAAAGAATATGCCAATTTTCTTGTGAACATTGAAATTTTATTAAGATGAGAATACATCATCTAGTCGATTATGTCATCGTATTTTTTGAAAAGCCTCACACTCATCGACAAACAGCTCAGTTTTTCCATGGCGGTCTAGCTTTAATTGACTCATGCTTTCACTTGCTTACTTACTTACGCCTGTTACCCCTCGTCGAGGAGCATAGGCCGCTCACCAGCATTCTCCATCCAACTCTGTAATGAGCCTTCCTTTCCAGTTTTTTTCAGTCAAAATTCATCCTTTTCATATCGGCTTCTATTTCCCGGCGTAGTGTGTTCTTTGGCCTTCCTCTCTTCCGCTTCCCTTCCGGATTCCAAGTTAGGGATTGAGTCGTGATGCACATTGGTGATTTCCTTAATGTATGTCCGATCCACTTCCAACGTCTTTTCCTAATTTCCTCTTCAGCTCGAAGCTGGTTTGTCCTCTCCCATAAAACGCTGTTGCTGATAGTATCCGGCCAGTGGATGTTGAGTATTTTGCGTAGACAATTGTTTATAAATACTTGTACCTTCCTGATGATGGTCGTAGTAGTTCTCCACGTTTCAGCAAAAGAAACATTACAAAATAAATAGGAATTATTGATCATTTCTTTACTCAGGCTGATAAATAATAAGCAACTTAGGTAATTATTCTATACACTACATCAAATAATTAGACTCAAGTAGTTATACTTATATTTTAATTATACCACTTCTAAAATAAGTGGTTACAATGTCCATAAAAACAATTGTCCTAATTGTTCACTCAGATGAATTTCCTATATATAAATATGCACTACTGAACTAAATAGTCATTGACTGTTTTTGCACAAGTTTGACTGACCTCATGTACAAGAAAGCAACTGAGAACCTAATCTTAAAAATTAATCAGATTTTGTCCGGAAGAATTATGTGATACTGAAGTATTGAAAACAAGATAGGATTTAATAGTTGATATCGACTAATGAACTCCTTGGGTCAAGAAATTGAAAGTGAAAAAAAAGTTTATGGTTAAAACTTCATGAAAATAGAATGACTTGGACATATGGAACAATCAATCACACATACTTGGTAAGGTGATTACTTAACAGGCTTGATTGTATTTGCACAAACGACGCTATTGATGATGATGTTAAGTTGTTAAACAAGACATTAATGGGGAATGGTTATCCACCTAAATTTATCAATAAATGGAATGTTCATGGCACAGTGAGACCTACTGTAACCGTGGTGGAGAAAAAGCCTGACTATATCACCTTACCATTTAGAGGTGATTCAAATAACCTTTTATTGAAACAAAGGCTTAAATCAATCATCAACAAAACGTATTGTGCAGCGAAGGTCATTATCAAAGAAAGAACGAGGTCCATGCTTCATTCAAAACCTAGACGACATGAAAACGATTGTGTCACACCCTACTGCGTTTGCGAATTTAAATGTGTGTGTGGTCACACATACATAGGGGGTGCAATCGTGATCTGAAACTTATTGTAGGTGATCATGTTATGTGGCGGCCTGCTTGAATACCTGGGCTACCTGTTTCTGCCATCTAAATATTTCAACAAGTTATCTGGGTGTTTTTTTAAAATTTGTTTTAACCTATCATTATGTCTATTAATCGCATAACCTACACAGGCGCGTTTATAAAATGCTTACGTCCTTTCGCTGCAAAAATTACAAACAAGCACAATAAGAGACATCGTGGTGGTTGGCAATATGCTTTAAAGAGAATAAACATCAATCAAATGTCGATTCCCGAGCTGCTTAACTCTAACTGCCGATCACTAATTAACAAGGTGGACTATCTCCAATTTCTGCTAAGTCAAAACATGTATCGTAATTGTGGTGTCATCACAATTCAAGAATCTTGGTTAACTGACTTACAGAACGATTGCTTAGTATCACTACGTGATTTTAATATCTATCGTCAGGATCGATCAAACAATAAAAAGTCGTGTGGCGGTGGAGTAGCTACGTTTGTAAACGTTAACTGGTGTCGATCTACTTTTGCTTGTTTCAAGTTTTCAAATGACTTTATCGGCTGTCTAACTTTAAGGTGCCGTCAAAAACACCTGAATAAATACAAATATATTTATGTTACCAATATCTACATGACTCCAGACTGCACATCATCTGCGCTATCTGTCTTCACTGATAAATTTACTGAATTCGCCGTTACTGCCTTCAGTAATTCACTTTCAATTGTATGTGGTGATTTCAATTCATGTGACTGTAGCTTCCTTACATCACTAGGTCACCTAAATGTAGTAGATTTTCCTACTCGTTTGAATTCTCATCTAGACTTGGTTTTCATTAATGATGTGGGTGCCTATGTGACTCGCAAACGTGCTCCATTGTCTAGTTCGGATCACTGTATAATTCGTGTCTTACCTAAAGTATATGGTAAACATGGAAAGAGTACACACATACACCATACCAAAAAAGTAATATGTAGGAATTACTAAGAAGAAAATTTACAAAATCTAAAAAACATGTTTCGTATGACCAACTGGGAATTATTCACATATGACTCAATAGAAAACACAACGGATGTTATCACCTCTTATCTTAAGTTCTGTTTTGATATTTGCTGTCCTACCGAAACCTTCTTTTTAAGTTTTGATCGACTTACATCTCCACAACTAAAACGACTACGGAGGGTAAAAGAAAGGATGTACAAGGAGAAAAACACTATTGAAGTTCGTAAGTTAAATGATCAAATAAACCAAGAGATTAGACGTCTCATCTCTGTGTTTACTCAAAAACTCCTATCTTGCAAAAGCTCTCCAAGTATGTGGAAACTCTTTAAAGAAATTACAGGAAACAGGAAGACTAGAAGCGATAACCAGCTGAATGCTTGTGACTTAAATAAGTCCTTTATACGTCAGTCATCTAACATCATGCTCCCTATATCCAAGGGTCTGAAGAATAATTGTGTTTCCAGTTTCACTGAAAATGATGTCCGAAAATGTCTCCAGTCACTTAATTCATCCCAATGTTTAGGACCTGATGGTATCCCAAACCTCCTTTTTAAAAAATGTGCTGATGTTTTATGTTATCCATTAACGAATATCTTCAACAGATCCTTCTCAACTAATGTCTTACCGATAATGTGGAGAAAGATAAAGATAATCCCTATACCTAAGAAGGCTTCTGGTGATAAAAATGCGAAACTTAGACCCATAGCAATAACCTCACCTTTCCTCAAAATAATGGAAAAATTACTGATACAACCACTTCAACCTGTAATAAAAGAGCACTGTGATCCATATCAGTTTGCTTACAGATGCAAAAGAAGCACATTAGATGCCGTTGCTGTTCTGCATCACAATATAGTGTTCGGGTTGGAAAAGGGTAAGAAGTATGTTAGATGCGCTTTCTTGGACTTTACTTCTGCTTTTGATTCTATTCCAAGACACCTCTTACTTAACAAGCTGATCAGCGTCGATACTGACAGCTGGATAACCAATTGGGCTATGTTCCTACCTTTCTGGAAGAGAACAGTACACTGTATTTGAAGGAAAGTGTTCAACATCTCAACTGTCTACTGTAGGTGTGCCACAAGGAGCTGTTCTTTCACCTCTGCTCTTCTCTTTCTTTTTGCATGATCTGCCATCTTCCACAGAAAACACTTTTGTAAAATATGCGGACGACCTCATCGTATGTATGCCAATTTCTACCTCCTTACATCCTATAGAAATGAATGAGTTTTTATCTCGTATTGAAAGGTGGTCTGTTGGTAATGGTCTCTTACTCAATTCATCTAAATGTCAAGCTGTTAATTTTAGCTTGAGACATGGACAGAACCTATACTCTATGTTGGGATCCCATAATGCTTGTGCCATTGGAGACTCCTTAATAAACACAGTGTGGAAGGTCAATTATCTTGGTGTTACTTTTTCCTCTGATCTTTCTTGGTCTTCTCATGTTTTGCTGTTATCGAAAAAAGTTTACCGTTTGACATACTACATAAAGAGGCTGCATGCTTTTGGGATTACTCCCCATTTACTCTTAAAATTTGTAAATTCCTGCATATTACCTATTATTCTATATTGTTCTCCATTATTATTTCCTGGGCTTTTGAGAAAAGATTTTGCTGTTTTGCGTAGAGTGCTGAAGGTAGTTTGCAAGGTATGTGGTGAATCTTTTGAAGTCATTATTAATATGCTTGTGGATAGACATCTTAAGTCTTGCAAACTCTTGGCAGGTGTTATCTTATCAGGTACTAGCCATCCGCTTCATTCATATCTTTCTCCTTGTATATCTTCTGGTAGAACGAGAAGTAAATACATTAAAATCCATACACGCAAGCAAGTCTATAAAAGTTTTGTAATACCTTACCTAGCAAATTTACTTTGTGACGAACAGGCTGTTAGAGTTGACCTAGTAAATAACCTGTCTTCTTAAGCATGTCTCATATTCGATAATTTGTATAAAGTCAGATTTTCTTGAACCTTTTTTTATATTTTATTTCTGTTTTTTGTTGTTTTTTTTGGTTTTATTTTTTGGGAAAAAACTTGTTGAAATAACTCGTGCTGAGAATTCTATATTGTACCAGATTATAATATTGAATAAAGCCATTATTAATAATAATAATAATGTACCAAAATGGTTGCAAAACAAACAGAGTCAAATGACCCAATAAGAGTAGAGGATAAACATCCATCATCCTCTATTGCCAAACATATAGTCGAAACAGGCCATAAGATTGATGTAAAATCGGCTTCTGTGGTGTTGTATAAAAGTGTAAAAGGGCATAAACTAAGGTTTATTGAAGCCTTAGCTATACGAAAATTCAAACCCCCTTTGCATTTTCAAAAAGTTTATTCTCTCTTTAAACCTACCCTGGTAATATTAGCTTATTATCCAGAGTGATTAGGTTTCAAATTGTTTTCACACTACTTTATTGTCATTATCCTTGTCTGTTCTTACTCCCCCCCATTTCCAGTTTAGTTGACCTTTTATTTTTATATATAAATGTGATCAGATTGTTCGAAATGAATAGCGCTAATATATCACATAGTTCTGATAGTCTTCGTTTTCTTATTACATTGTCGAAATATTCATTTTAATATACACGTAAGGTTCACTATGGATTTTTCCATCTGCAATTATATTATTTCTTCTATTTGTGTTAAAAGATATTTGGAAAAAACGGGGAAAGTTCATTAGTATTTCTCAAGGAAATTGATCGTGAGAGATTCAAGAGTCCATCACACTTCAGAGTTAAACATATCATTTAACAGATTCAAATAGGTCCTGGGTTCAAATCTCGCGAGTGCGGGATCGTGGATGCGCACTGCTGAGGAGTCCCGTAATAGGACGAAACGGCCGTCCAGTGCTTCCTTGTTTTCTTTGGTGGTCTAGCTTCAATTGACTCACGCTTTCAACTATGAAAATACTAAAATCTCCACAAAACCCCTTCTAATTTATGAACTTCGTCATTTTCACATGATCAATATCATTATCTTTTTTATACATATCTTGTGAAAATGATAAACTATTTAAATTTTATTACTACTTCATGAAACATCTGACTTTCTATCACGATATCAATTTGTTTAACCTATTGATAACATAGAATGCATGTTGTTTAAACTTGACTGCAATATGAATCTTATCACTCTTATTCATACTTTAACATAAATCTAGGCTGTATAATTGTCAGATTAAATACATGGGACAGAAACATTGAAATATCAAAACAGGAAAGACCAATTCAGCAAGATGACTTATTTTCTGAGAATTTATTTTCAATCTGTTTTTTTTTCATTTAAAAAAATCAATAGTTGTTTTTAAAAACAATAATGTACTTAGCATGGTAACAAAAATATGTGAAAGAAATGTTATTCCTGTTAAAAGATACTGAAAATTCGCTTATTAGACTGTTAAATATTAATTCAGAATGTCATACACCTTAGAAAAGAAATTTAGTAACTTTCATAAGGCATTGTGTAGCAAAATAAACTAAAATAATATCTAATCAGTGAAGACATAAGAACCGTGTAAGTCAATCAGAAGTGAAATATTAACTTATTTCTATTTAACATTTACACTTAACTGACTTATTTTTCTTTCACCACCCTCTTTGTGGACATATCTATTTTATTTTTTTGATATATATTTAAGGTCTTAGCAACTATATTTAGGGTGTTTTTCACTAGAATATTATTTTCCTCTATGATGTTGTTACTAAACTTAGTAGTTTATTGTTATTGACAAGTATACCGTGGATGCGCACTGCTGAGGAGTCCCATAATAGAACGAAACGGCCGTCCAGTGCTTACAAGTTTTCCATGGTGGTCTAGCTTCAATTGACTCATGATTTCAACTATGAAAATATATTATTGATCATTACTGAAGATAAAGGTGTTTATTAGTGATTGTACGTATTTGATGATGAATTTGTAAAATTAAATCTAATAAACTTAGCGTATATATGTGAAAGTTTAGAGAACGTGACATGAAATAAGTGGTAATTAGTACTTTAAACCTTTTATTTATATATTAATAATCAATAATATAAATACAATGGATAGCTCGAAATCAACAAGACGATTTGGACTTCGCAGATGACTCAGCTCTTCATATACAACAACAAATACAGATGAAGACAGCCAGTGCGACAGGAGCCTTGGTATCAGTAGACCTCAACATACACAAGAGGAAAAACAGCATCGTCAAAAGCAACATAGAAATCATCAACCCGATTACACTTGATGGAGAAACTCTGGAAGAGGTGGAATCATTACTATAACTACTCAGACAGCAAAATCGATGAACATGGAGGATCAGATGCAGACGCTAAGTTAAAAATTAGGAAAGCAAGAGCGGTATTCCTGCGGTAGAAAAACATACGGAACTCAAAACAATTGTATGCATGTCAACATCAAAATCACGATCTTCAATACGAACGTCAGCAGTTCTACTGTATGCCGATGAAACTTCGAGAACTTCGACAAAGATCATCAAAAACCTGCAAGTATTTATAAAAGGTTGTCTACACAGGATGCTCAATGTCCGTTGACCGGATATCATCAGCAACAATCTACTGTGGAAGAGAAAAAACCGACTTCCATCCGAGGAGGAAATTAGGAAAAAATCTATGGATGTGGGTAGGACAAACATTGAGGAAATCATCAAACTGCATCACGAGGCAAGAGCTTACTTGGAATCCTGAAGGGAAACACAGAAGTAGGAGGCCAAAGAACACATGACGTCGAGGATCGAAAGCAGACATGAAAAGGGTGAGTAGCAACTGGAACCAATTGGAGAAGATTATCGAGGACAGAGTTGGATGGAGAATGCTAGTGGGCATCCTATGCCCCTTCACGAGGTGTAATATGCGTAAGTAAATGATATGATGACAAGATTGGTGTTCACAGTATGTCAAAAGGCTTTCTACATATTTCACTTCCAATTATGACTATTTGCTAACCTGAGCGTCAGAAGCAATACTTACTTATGCCTGTTAACCCCTCCACGTGGAAGATCATAGGTTGCCCACCACGATTCGCCAACAAACTCTGTCCGGGGATCTCCTTTCCACTCATTCCCAACTGTTATTCATTCTTATCATATCTTACCACAAATATTCACACTACGTGTTCTTTGATTTGTCTGTTTTCCTTTGACATTCATGACTACGAGTTAGGGCTTGACCTGTGACTCAGTCAAGTGATTTCCACAATGTTTGCCCTATTCGACTCTAATGTCTTTTCCCAATTTTCTCGTCATCCCACAGCTGATTTGTTCTCTCCCACAGTATAGTGTTGTTGATACTATCCAATTAACAGACACTGAGTATCTCACAAAAGCAACTGTTTATAATTACATGCAAATTTTTTATGATTGTTGTAGTAGTTCTCCAAGTGTCAGCTCAGTACAATAGAATTGTCTTGACGTTTGTATTGAGATATCTGACATTCATGATGGCTTGTAGCTGTTTTGAGTACCTCATGTTCTCAAAATATATAAATTCTGTCATTGCTTTACCAACATGTGTACTCACGATCGCATCAGATCCTTCTTGTTTACTAATGATCCTGCTCAAATACGTAAACGTCTCAAACTGTTTCAGTATTTCTCCGTCATCTGTGAATAGGTTGGTGCTCTCTGTGTCGTATTTCAAGATCTTTCTACTTCCCTTTTATATGATGAGGCCTATTGCCGTTCGAAGCATCTGAAGCTCCCATTTTATTTCAAAATTTTTTAAGGCTACAATGAAATAAATTTAGCAGAATATAACTTTACGAACAAAAAACTACCAATAGTAGTATTGTCAAATAAGTAACATGAGGAGTCCCACAGTGGGACGAAACTATCAATTGACAATCTGACCGCATACAAAAAAGCAAATTGTAAACAAACATTTTACTTTGAGTGCAGCAAATTATTTGAAGTAACTTATGCTACAATAATGGCAGTAGGATTCATCGTAAACTGATACAAAATAGATGAAAATCAAACACCAACGAGTATTACACTGTCATTCTTCGTAGTCATGTAGTAACTAAGTTTATAAATGGCCGAGTCAATTTCAGTGATATTTATGAGCTATAATCCTTTCATAATGAATATATAATGTATGTATGATATTATTTTAACAAATTAATTACTCCTATTTGTTTGTTTTCTCTTCTAACTTTTAGGTGTATTTTTATTCTGTTGGATGCCATTCTTTACAAACAATATTATACAAGCATTCTGTTTCAAATATCAATTATTACAACAATCTCAATTATGTCATATGCCTGATTGCATAACAAGCATTTGTGTATGGCTTGGTTATGTAAATTCAGTTCTTAATCCAATTATTTATACAATATTCAATGTGGAATTTAGAAAAGCCTTCAAAAAATTACTTTGTTGTAAGACTTGATTTCAACATACTGCCAGTGTGTATTTAGTAATAATATGATGAATCAATAATGATGTATGTAAATAAAAAAGAACCCAAACATTATTGTATTTTTATTATAAACATAATTGCGCATATAACAAAGTCAGTTTTTATTTTTACTCTTCAATGATTTCTATTATAAACAGAGTAGAGATAACGATACATATATATATATATATATATATATATATATATATATATATATATATTGAAACTTGTTTTCTATTCGTGTATGATGAAGAAGACCTGTAACTTATATGGGTACTTTGTAGGCTGAATGGAACATTTAAATTTCTGCGAAAACAATCTTTTTTTTAAGTAGAACATGGCACTGAGTAACTAATAAGTGTTGGTCAATCATTATAGATCAGCATATCCACTAATGTTTATTATTGACTAAATGTATGGTCTGTTTGGTCTATCGAACAGTGTTATACGATATAGTCAAGAAAATGAAGAAAAAAACAAACAATGTCTATCTAACATTTATGTATGATAAGTAATTTAGTCGGAACTAAGTCGAACTACAATTCACTAAACACGTCTCTATTTTATTTTAGTTGAATGATTATTAATTACCCGAGAGTTATCAGTAAGAAATCACAAAGATCGCATTTAAATATGATTTATGTGTTGACATTTATTAGTGCAATAAAAAAGCTATTCTGACTTTATGTAATCTGAAAAAATTACGTTTCGCAATATGTCGATTATTTTATCAGTTGAATTCATGAGTTTATCTAAGCTAAACAACCATTGAAAATAGTCCAGTACTTCCAAGTTTTCGATGGCAGTCTGGCTTAAATCGACTAATTAATTCAACTGTTAATATTACTACAATCTCCATAAATCCCCATTCAGTTAATATCCATCATTTTCTCAACAATGGTTTACTGAAAACATTTTTAAATATCTGTAGTTAAGATATTAAAATTGACGGGTAATATCAAACAACGTACATATTCATCCAAATTACGAATCGACTAAAGTTATACGACGAAGGAAGGATGACAAAGTTCAACGTTAAGTTTATAAGAAAGACACATGGAATAGGGTTTATTTTAATTCCAATAGCTTTTGTCCAATTCATTACAAAAAAGCACTTGTCAAAACACTGTTTCACAGAACAGAAAGAATATGTACTATTGATACACTAGAAGAGGGAGTAATGAATGTTAAAAATTGTTTAAAGAATAACGGGTGCCCACTGAAATTTATTGAGAAATATGGAAAGAGTGAAGATAAGAAACCCAAAGAGACTACAGCAAATAAAAAACCTATTTTTATCCAAATTAAATTCAAAGGTGGTGATGTCATGGGGTCAATTAATATGAGACTAAATACTGCATTAACAAGAACTAATCCTGCAGCTAAACTGATTGTCATGTCCAAAATAACACAATCGAAGGTCGATAGGTATACTTTTCATCTTACCATCAACTGTGTTTACAAATTTACATGTATCTGTCAAAGCAGTTACATTATTAGGACAGAAAGAAGTCTACCTTCGATTCAAAGAAGAAATTCCGAAAATTTTAAATTTAAATGGATTAAAAGCATTTAGCAGTATCATTGCAAGACATCTGCTTGGCACAGGACATGAAGTCGATACACTGAAGTTCGTCAAGGTGATTAACAAACAATCAAACCCCAACCTATTGGAATTTACCGAAGCGATAACAATCAAACCTTTAAAACCAGATCTATGTGCATAAAAAGAGGCAGTAATAAATCTTTCTTTGCCCTGATAACATTAAACCCCTTTTTTAGTTATTACATCCTTCATTATTTCAACTCTTTCTGAAGTTTTATTTAGGTCATTGTTGTTTTTTCTTAGATTCATATCTGACTGATCTGAATTCATATATTTCTTTATTACCATTAATCTAACTTTCAGTTGCTTCATTACACAATCATCTAATGTTCCTTAACTCCATAAGTTTTAATCACTATTTAAATGTTCTGGAACTTTCCCTCCTAAACTTTATTCATCCGAAACAAACATTTTTGTGACTTTATTAGCTTTATAGGAATCTACACTACATTATGATACATTTATTCGTCTTTATTCATCCTCGTATGTACAATTATGTCAATATCTGTAATAAGGTCGATTTTCAAATATTTTAGGTTGTAAGCAGCAGATGGGAACCTAACGAAATAAAATGAATTCTTATTATTCTGCATCAATCTTCGTTCTTGCTGTCTTTAATATAATCAAAAGCCTGGAAGCACTGGACGTCAGTTTCGTCCTAGAATGGGTTCTCGGATGGATGTGAGCTGCCAAGGAGGCCCATTCTTAAACGAAACGGCTGTCTAGTGCTTTCAGGCCTTCAGTTGTTGTCTAATTTTGAACGGTTCATAATTTCGACGAGATTGTACAAAGTTTATAACCACATAATGAAAATAGGAATATTGTTGCCAAAAACATTTTTGCATTTAAACAAGATCCTACATTTGTACACTGGATTTGTTTTAAGTAAAACTAACTAAAAATGGTCCTTTTAAAGAGAATGCTTAGAAATACTATATTTGAATGATGTTTTCTGACGACGTAATATTGTTCTCATCGGTTAGCTTTCTGGAAACTACTGAATTGAATGTCATTAGAATGTTTCAAAAAACATATATAGCTTATTCTAGGGATGTGAGGCGTTGTGTTTTTAAGATTACATATTCCGTCGTAAAAGTGAACAGAGGTTTGGATTAAGTAAGTGAACTGTTATTCATGATATTCGAATACAATTCGTCGGCCCGATGTGCGAAATGTTCCCACTTTGTATTTTCTAAACCTTAAATTCGATATAATTTCTGACAAAAAACGTAAAGTGTACACAATGTTGTGTTTCAAAATGGAAATGGAATTCATCATTAACTTTTGAGGTCATATTAAGATTGACAAATACTAATTTTCTAGATAATATGATTGAGGAATTACATAATTGTTAAGTCCCATATTGTTCAATACTTCCGTTATTCCTATGGATACTGAATGTTTCTTATTATCATCAACACAATGTGGACTATGGGTTTACAGCTTTTCATTCATATAAAAGAATTCAGAGTTCTATAGTACATAAGCGATTTCTCATTCACTTGAAAAAAGATTTACATAACGAACCACTTTGATTCATGAATAACCAAACGAGATCTTTATTAATAGACTTCTTTCCTTGGGATTAGACTGAGAAATATATATATACTTCGATGGATTAACAGTCTCCTTATACGAATACGCAATTGCACAATACTATATACTAGTTTAGACTGTTCGTAAGGGGCATTCAAATAAATAAATATAACTCTGTAGTAAAATTATTATGAAATGAAACGAGAATTAAACTTGTACAGATATTGCAAAGTTTCATGTACAGGTACATTTGACACCTAATATACAAAATCTATCTTAGATTAATTATTTTCTTAACAATACCTACCTATAAACACTAGCGGAAACGGAAATATGAATAATTATACAGAAGTTAATTAATTTAAATACCAAACCTTTACGAAAAGAAAGTTACTAAATGATATAATACTGTACTGTGTGCTACTGATATCGACAGATATAAGTAGTATGTATGGTCTGTGAATGTGAAATGTCTGGCGTCAGAAAGTTAGGAAAATAAAAAAAAAATTGAAAGTGAACAAAGAATGATTATTGTGGAAATGAAGGAACAGTGAAGTTCCAGACAATTGATTGACATTTTACAAATGAAGTATTTACTGTATGACTCTCAGATTTTACTAAGATATAGTTTAATTTTGTGTTCAAATATATTTGATTGTCCCAACCTGTGTTCTCGTTTACTACTATACTATGGTTTAAATACAATCTTAGATTCTAGCTAAGATTTATTTGTCAACAGAGAGTAGACGATTGGTTGACTTAAGAAATTCGAAGAAATTTCTAAAATATAATTAATCAAGAGAATGATAACCATTCTCAAGTATTTAAAAAACCTTAGGTGGCCATTAACTTCAATGTTGATCAAATCATAGACAAATACAAAAAATTAGCCGAAAATTTATTTAAAAAACTTAATTGTTCATTATTAGAATAATCAAAATGTTTTATTGCAAATATTATGCAAGAAAAAAACAATCTTTATCACTTGCTTGAAACTTGTACCATAGAAGTGTTACTTCTACTTCTTTCTTTGTTTTTTCTTCTTTCAATTAACTTTAAGTTTTCGATCCATTCTGATATTCTATTTTGATAGTTGAAAGAATAATTAAGGATTATATTCAAAAGGTTATTTGTTAATATGTTAATTATTAACAAAATAAAGTGAATTTGGCATTTTTTTAATAGTTGAGATTATGAATCAATTGAAGCTAGACCATCAGGGAAAACCTGGAAACACTGGATGGCCACAAAACCTCTTCTGATATTCACCAACACATGCTGACTAGTGACTGGCTTCAAGAGGTATCTCTTGGAGTTCTAGTGAGAAGCAGTGACCACTAGAGTTCAACCAGGTTTGTTGTGAGATAGTAACTCACTGAAGATATTGGTGGATGTGTCGGTTGAAGCTAGACATTAATACTGTTGGATGCCTGCTCAGTGGTTTAGACGTTGAGCGCTCGCGCGCGAAACCGATAGGTCCTGGGTTCGAATCACGCGAAGCGGGATCGTCGAGGCGTACAGCTGGGGAGTCCCACAATCGGACGAAATGGCTATCTAGTGCTTACAGGTGTTCCATGGTTGTCTAGCTTCAACTGATTCATGATCTCAACTATTAAATTAATATTTGACTTGGAAATACTTATTTTATTCAACTATCAGTAATTATGGTATAAATTATCTTGTTTTCTTTTGTGTTTTCAGTGGCTGTTGTTTTTTTCTTTTTAACCACTTTTTTTTACAAACACGTCTCTCTTTTTCTCAAAATTAAATACTTTATGAAGTGAATCTATGGTATTGTATTGCTTAAAATGGATTATAAAGTTGCATAATATTTTTTGGAGTAATTTTATTGTCTGACATTTAAACATTCTGCGTTTTCTTTGGCTTTTAAACTCTCACAAGTCTATTTATTACAAATAATATGTTAACACAAATATAAAATTAGTCAGTACATAATATGCTTGCATGTATG